TTATAAATTCACCTACGCCCCATGTTCTGTACCATAACTGGTCATGTGCTGCTTCTGTGGATTTCGGACACCACCCAGCCTTTACACACAATGCATTTTCACTAAGTGCTAAACACTCCCTAAATCCACAAATGATATTCTATAATTAATTCCTCTATTTGGAAATGCCAACAGAGGACTTAAATATTTACAAAGCACATAGAACTACTGTATATACATCCGTCCATATGACCCAAAGGAACTTGCAATCTAATGTTCCTCTTACCTGACCAGGGGCAGACTGACCATTTGGAAACTGGGCACTGCCCAAGGGCCTGGGGTCAGTAGGGGGCCCCATGAGATGCCCCTAGTACCTTTTTCATAGGCTTTTTTAGGTTTGGGCAAGGACACAGGGGCCCCATGATCCCCTATTGCCTGGGGGCCCCATGAGTTGTCAGTCCACCTCTGTACCTGACTAATCAGTCCATATGACCCAAAGGAACTTGATATCTAATGTTCCTCTTACTTGACTAATAAAGACAATAGCATCAATGAATGAAAGCAAGTGAACATAGCCAGTAGGGGTTTTTTTATATGGTACAGAACCAGAGAACCCAGAGGGGGGACGACTAGACATAAGGAGAACATACAAACTTCATGCATCTCTCTGGTCAGATTTGATCCCAGGACTCCGTGCTTCAAGACAAGAGCAGGGGCGGACTGACAACTCATGGGGCCCCCGGGCAATAGGAGATCATGGGGCCCCTGTGTCCTTGCCCAAACTCAAAAAAGCCTATGAAAAAGGTACCAGGGGCATCTCATGGGGCCCCCTACTGACCCCGGGCCCTCGGGCGGGCAGTGCCCAAGTTTTCAAATGGTCAGTCCGCCCCTGGACAAGAGTAATCACTTTCTAGATCACTCTATACACACAATGGGAGGATTCATTCTAAGCCACAAGTGTTTTTTTTTTTAATATTAATAATAATGGTGCAGCACAAACACACAAAGGGAGGACATACAAACTCCATGCAGATCCCAGGAAAGATATACAGTGGTGAAAATAATTATTTGATCCCCTGCAGGTTTTTTTCAGTTGCCCACTCAAAGAAATAAAGGGTCTATAATTTTTATCATAGCTGTATTTTCAATGATAGAGACAGAATATCAACCATAAATCTAGAAACAAACAGAATACAAATGTTATAAATTGAGTTGCAGTTCAGTGAGTAAAATAAGTATTTGATCCCCTATCAGGGGCGGACTGACAACTCATGGGGCCCCCGGGTAATAGGGGATCATGGGGCCCCTGTGTCCTTGCCCAAACTCAAAAAATGAAAAAAGGTACCAGGGGCATCTCATGGGGCCCCCTACTGACCCCGGGCCCTCAGGCAGTGCCCGAGTTTCCAAATGGTCAGTCTGTCCCTGTCCCCTACCAACCAACAATAATTCTGGCTATGTACTCATGTGGTACACAGTTTAGCCGCTTGCCAGCCAGAGGATCCCCCCCCCCCCTTCCTGACCAGGCAATTCTTTGCAATACGGCGCTGCGTTATTTTAACTGACAATTGCGCGGTCATGCAACGCTGCACCCAAATGAAATTGATGTCCTTTTTTCCCACAAATAGAGCTTTCTTTCGGTGGTATTTTTTCGCGGGTTTTATTTTTTGCACTATAAACAAAAAAAGACTGACTATTTTGAAAAAAAAAAATATATTTTTGACTTTTTGCTTTAAAACATATCAGTAAAAAAAATCAAATTTTGTCATAAATTTCGGCCAAAATGTATTCTGCTCCGTGTCTTTGCTAAAAAAAAAAAAATCCCAATACGTATAAATAGGTTTACGTGAAAGTTATGGCGCTATAGATACTGGGATTTTTTTCTTTTTCTTTATGTTATTAATAGCGGTGAACAGCGACTGCGGCAGGAATTCTGACACTGAAGGGGGGGGGGGGAACTGTCACTGACATGTCAGTGACACTAATACAGTGATCAGTGCTAATAAAAAGCACTGACACTGTACTAATGGCACTGGGCAGGAAGGGGTTAACATCTGGGGCGATCAAAGGGTTAACTGTGTACTCTTTTACTATGTAAGCCTGCTGCTTTGTATGGCTTTGCTATGCAGAGCCACAAAAAGCAGCATGCTGGTGCTGACAGGGGAGAGATCTGTATTGTTTGCATCCAGACCTCTCCCCTGTCAGTGTTCCTTGGCGATCGCCAGGTACGGCGGTGATCTCCATCCAGGACCCGGTGATCAACAGCTGTAGCTGCCAATGGCGGTGCTGAAATGCAAACTCATATATATATATATATATATATATATATATATATATTTTGCACAGCCCTACTGACCTGTAGCAGTAGTTCTTCTAAAGGGTGGTTGGAAAGCAATTAGTCCTGTGAATTTAAGAAGGTGCTCCTAACGACAACTTGTGTATAAAAGACACCTGTCCACAGAATCTTTCTTCCATTCAAACCTCACCACGGTGGGCAAATGACCAAAGAGGTGTCAGAGGACGTCAGGGACAAGATTGTAGACCTGCACAAGGCTGGAATGGGCTACAAGACCACCAGCAAGAAGCTTGGTGAGAAGGAGACAACTGTAGGGGGGGTTATTCACAAACGGCAGAAATACAAAATAACCATCAATCCCCCTTGGTCTGGAGCTCCATGTAAGATGTCACCTCATGGGGTAAGGATGATAATGAGAAAGGTGAGGGATCAGCCCAGAACTACATGGGAGGAGCTTTTGAATGATTTCAAGGCTGTTGGGACCACAGTCACCAAACACACCATTGGTAACATAATACGCTGTCATGGATTGAAATCCTGCAGCTCCCGCAAGGTCCCCCTCCTCAGGAAGGCACATGTACAGGCCCGTCTGAAGTTTGCCAATGAACATCTATAATTCAGAGAAGGATGGGAGAAAGTGTTGTGGGTCAAATGAGACCAAAATTGAGCTCTTTGGCATTAACTCTACTCGCCGTGTTTGGAGGAAGAAAAGTGCTGATCATGACCCTAAGAACACCATCCCTACAGTCAAGCACAGAGGTGGAACCATTATGCTTTGGGGCTGCTTCTCTGCTAAAGGTACAATCCGACTTTGCCGCATTGAGGGGCCAATGGACAAGGCCATGTATTGTAAAATCTTGGATGAGAACCTTCTTCCCTCAGCCAGAACACTGAAGATGGGTCATGGATGGGTCTTCCAGCATAACAATGACCCAAAACACACGGCCAAGGCAACAAAGGAGTGGCTCAAGAAGAAGCACATTAAGGTTCTGGAGTGGCCTAGCCAGTCTCCAGACCTTAATCCGATAGAAAATGTATGGTGGGAGCTGAAACGTCCGAATTGACAAGCGACAACCAAGAAACCTTAAGGATTTAGAGAAGATCTGTAAAGAAGAGTGGACCCAAAATGCCTCCTGAGATGTGTGCAAACCTGGGAACCAACTACAAGGACCGTCTGACCTCTGTGCTCACCAACAAGGGTTCCTCCACCAAGTACTAAGTCGTGTTTTGCTTGGGGATCAAATACTTATTTTACTCACTGAACTGCAACTCCATTTATACCATTTGTATTGTGTTTTTTCTGGATTTGTGGTTGATATTCTGTCTCTATCATTTAAAATACACCTATGATAAAAATGATTCCCTTGATTTCTTTGTAAGTGGGAAAACGTACAAAATCTGCAGGGGATCAAATAATTATTTTTCTCACTGTAAACCCAGGATGCAATGCCTAAAGCTAAAGATTAATCTGCTTATATTTGGCCTTCCCTGCCCACCCCACTCATTTTTTAACTAAAACCTTCCTATTTTCAAGACATACTTTATTTTACACCCAATGATGTCATCACTGGGTCTCCATGCTTATCTATGCAATTCAGGCAGATGATGGGGCTGCTGGGAAGGGCCAGTAGGGTGCTTAGAAAACCTCACACCATGCTGCCTGACTACTCCTCTCAAGAGCTCTCAGCCCTGATGCAAGCAGTGGGCAAATCTGTGGGAGGAGTTATGCAAATTTCACAATGCTTTGGTAGGTGAGTGTCAGTCTTGAGTTAGAGCTAGTAGTCAGGCTGCATTTTCATTTGCTGACATGAGACGCTGAGCCTCCATGAGGGGAATAAACCAAAATCCAATGAAGTAAAGGGGCAGGCCATAAAAAAAAACATATTATGGCCATTAGATGGCACTGAAGAGCATACTTGGTTCCTTTGATAGTCAATGCCATCTAGTGACCATAATGCAGTATTTTCCGCCCCCTGTGTGGGCAAGGGACATATTAGATATGTGTATCACCTAACCCCAAAATCCCCTCAAAAAGTCACGCCTTCTCCCCAGAAAGCAACACAATATTACAACCTTTTTGAAATTATATAAACAAATTCAAACAGATGAATATAATCATAAATTACAAAAATTGGAAAAAATCATAAAATTCAAAAATACAAAAATAAAAAGTAATTAAAAAAAGTCCAGCACAAAGTGTCCCAAAATGTCCCAATGTAAACACAAATAGTGTCAAACAGAAATGGTGTCCCAAAATTGTCCAAATCTCCAAATTTTATCCAGTCAGAAGAAATTCCCTTTCATCCCGCAATACCTCGAAAAAAACAAATTCAGAAATCTAGTGCATTACCTTTATAAATAATATATATATATTCTCTTCGTGCAAAAAATAAAACACAAAAACACAAAAAAAGTGTGCAAACACTATATATGTGTATTTTTCCGTGCACATGTGAATGAACTGTGACCACTCAGTGAGCACTGCAACAGTGTGTATCCACCAGCACCAATACCATTTCTGTTTGACACTATTTGTGTTTACATTGGGACATTTTGGGACACTTTGTGCTGGACTTTTTTTAATTACTTTTTTATTTTTGTATTTTTGAATTTTATGATTTTTTTCCAATTTTTGTAATTTATGATTATATTCATCTGTTTGAATTTGTTTATATAATTTCAAAAAGGTTGTAATATTGGGCAAGGGACAGTCAGGATAAGGAGGAAAGGGCTAGATGATGGGCGTCCTACAGCCAGGAACTGAGTTGCTCTAAATGACTTGCTGCAGCTTCTAATACACATTGTGAGAAGATCACAGTGTGCAGTGAAATCAGAGTAAACCATTTCAGTGATGGAGAGGAGTCGGTACACCTGTGCAAGACTGAAAGAGGAGCCAGTACACCTGTGCTAGACTGAAGGGGAGGAGCCGGTACACCTGTGCAAGACTGAAGGGGAGGAGCCGGTACACCTGTGCAAGACTGAAGGGGGGAGGAGCCAGTACACCTGTGCAAGACTGAAGGGGAGGAGCCGGTACACCTGTGCAAGACTGAAGGGGAGGAGCCGGTACACCTGTGCAAGACTGAAAGAGGAGCCGGTACACCTGTGCAAGACTGAAAGAGGAGCCGGTACACCTGTGCTAGACTGAAGGGGAGGAGCCGGTACACCTGTGCAAGACTGAAGGGGAGGAGCTGATACACCTGTGCAAGACTGAAGGGGAGGATCCGGTACACCTGTGCAAGACTAAAGGGGAGGAGCCAGTACACCTGTGCAAGACTGAAGGGGAGGAGCAGGTACACCTGTGCTAGACTGAAGGGGAGGAGCCGGTACACCTTTGCAAGACTGAAGGGGAGGATCCGGTACACCTGTGCAAGACTAAAGGGGAGGAGCCGGTACACCTGTGTAAGACTGAAGGGGAGGAGCTGGTACACCTGTGCTAGACTGAAAGGGAGGAGCCGATACACCTGTGCAAGACTGAAGGGGAGGAGCCGCTACACCTGTGCAAGAGTGAAGGGGAGGAGCTGCTACACCTGTGCAAGAGTGAAGGGGAGGAGCCGGTACACCTGTGCAAGACTGAAAGGGAGGAGCCGGTACACCTGTGCAAGACTAAAGGGGAGGAGTCGGTACACCTGTGCAAGACTGAAGGGGAGGAGCCAGTACACCTGTGCAAGACTGAAAGGGAGGAGCCGGTACACCTGTGCAAGATTGAAGGAGAGGCCGGAGGTCAGATTTAAATATTGTCAAGCTGCTGTAAAGTGTGCCTTCATCATAAAGAAGTGAAATACAACTGTCAGTGTAGGAGGTTGACGAGGATCACAGTCAGAAAAAAATCACATCCCCCGCACTGACGTGTAAGTCTCATGCATTATTTTAATCTGCCGTTTCTGTATGATGCATCCGGGTCAATGAAGGGTTAATTCCTCTAGCAAAGCAAATTACAGTCCAGGATAAACATTTGTGGATTGGCGAGATTTGTAGTTGTGCTGTCGCTAAGCCTTTGATTATAGCTTGTTCTAGCACTTAAATCCGGCTGACGGGGTAAGCCTGCAAGGATGAGCGCACCAGCACAAAACATAGGTATATCGTCAATATAATGCACCTATTGCTATGTCCTGTGACTGGAGGTATTGGATCGGATTAACGAGGATCTGGAAAATAAAAGTAAAAAAATCTGTGAAAAAAAAAAAATTATATATATATATATAGTGTGTGTGTATATATTAACGAGGATCTGAAAAATAAAAGTAAAAGAAATGTGAGGGAAAAAAATAAAAAAATATATATATATATATAGTGTGTGTATATATTAACGAGGATCTGAAAAGTAAAAGAGATCTGTGAAAAATATATATATATATATATTTTGTGTGTGTGAGTGACATCAATTTTCAAAAAGACCCAGAATGCAATCATTTGGAAATCACATAAACCCATGCTTTTATAGAAAATAGAACACGGATCAAATGTTTGAACTGAGAAAATGTATCATTTCAAGAAAAAAAAAATCGGGGTCATTTTGAAATTGATGGCAGCAACATATATTAAAAAAAATAGCTGGGACAGGGCAACAAAAAGCTGGCAGAGTAAATGGTACTAACAAGGCAGAGCTGGAAGAACATCTTGCGACTAATTAAGTTAATTGGCAACAGGTCAGTAACATGATTGGGTATAAAAAGGAGCATCTTAGAGCAGGCTTTCTCAACCTAAACTATATTGCCAAAGTATTGGTCGGCCGGTCTTTCCACACACATGACCTTTAATGGCCCCCCAGTCTTAGTCCGTAGGGTTCAATATCGAGTTGGCCCCACCCTTTCCACTCACATGAACTTTAATGTCCTCCCAGTCTTAGTCCGTAGGGTTCAATATTGAGTTGGCCCCGCCCTTTGCAGCTATAACAGCTTCACCTCGTCTGGGAGGCCGTCCACAAGGTTTAGGAGGGTGTCTATGGGAAGGTTGGACCATTCTTCCAGAAGCGCATTTGTCAGGTCAGGCACTGATGTTGGGGGAGGAGGCCTGGCTTGCAGTCTCTGCTCTAATTCATCCCAAAGGTGTTCTATGGGGTTGAGGTCAGGACTCTGTGCAGGCCAGTCAAGTTCCTCCACCCCAAACTGGCTCCTCCATGTCTTTATGGACCTTGCTTTGTGCACTGGTGTGCAGTCATGTTAGAACAGGAAGGGGCCATCCCCAAACTCTTCTCACAAAGTTGGGAGCATGAAATTGTCCAAAATGTCTTGGTATGCTGACACCTTAAGAGTTCCCTTCATTGGAACTAGGGGGCCAAGCCCAACCCCTGAAAAACAACCCCACACCATAATCCCCCCTCCACCAAACTTTACACTTGGCACAATGCAGTCAGGCAAGTACCATTCTCCTGGCAACTGCCAAACCCAGACACATCCATCAGATTACCAGACAGAGAAGCGTGATTGGTCACTCCAGAGAACACGTCTCCTCTGCTCTAGAGTCCAGTGGCGGTGTGCTTTACACCTCGGCATCCGACGCTTTGCATTGCACTTGGTGATGGAAGGCTTGGATGCAGCTGCTCGGCCATGGAAACCCATTCCATGAAGCTCTCTACGCACTGTTGTTGGGCTCATCTGAAGGCCACACCAAGTTTGGAGGTCTTTAGCTATTGACTCTGCAGACAGTTGGTGACTTCTGCGCACTGTGCACTTCAGCATGCGCTGACCCCGCCCTGTCATGTGACGTTGCCTGCCACTTGGTGGCTGAGTTGCTGTTGTTCCCAGTTGCTTCCACTTTGTTATAATCCCACTAACAGTTGAGCGTGGAATATTTAGTAGCCAGGAAATGTCACGGATGGACTTATTGCCCAGGTGATCACGGGACCACGCTTGGAGTCACTGAGCTCCTGAGAGTGACTGTCAGGGACCGCGGCTCCATGGTCCGCGATCGCGGCTCCGTCCCTCGCGCATGCGCGCAGTGGCGGCAGATCGCGCCGGGACACAGGCACTAGGTCCCGGCGAGCCGCGGCTGACAGGACGCCGCGCATGCGCAGTAGGAGCCGCGGGGCGCGCCTCAGGCGTCCAATGACAGCCGGGGGCACGTCCTAGCCGGCCAATGACAGTGCAGGGCGCACTATTTAAAGATGCCCTGCACTGTCACAGATTGCCGCAAGGTCTTCCTGTGATCCTGAGTTCCTGCACCTATCTTGTGACCCTGATTGACCCTGACTATTCTGCCTGCTCCTGCGTTTGACCCGGATTGTCCTGACTACTCTGCCTGCTCCTGCGTTTGACCCGGATTGTCCTGACTATTCTGCCTGCTCCTGCGTTTGACCCGGATTGCCCTGACCATTCTATGGATTGACTTCCCTGCTGACCCTGCGTGTGACCCGACTACTCTCGCCTACCAATTCTGTACCCCGCTTACCCTCACGGGCCCACGATCCGTTACTACCCTGCTGGGGCCGCCATCCTCTTCATAT